CGTGGTTCCCCTTCTTGCTAGAACCTTGGGGGCCGGTGTTCTCCCATTTCCTCTTCTTCGCCTCCTCGGCGGTTTTCAGCTTTCTTTCTTCCCATTCCTTCTCCCCTTTCAGGCCTTGCTCCACCACTTGACTAAACGTCATGTTAGGCAATTGTGTTGCCCGTTCACGCACGTCTAAGTCTAAAGCATCCCAAAAGTGATTCACCATCCGGTTCTCATCACAAGCGTACTCCGGTATGAACTCCGCGAGCTCCCTGAACTTGTGCTCAAGTTGTCTCACGGTATCCTTGCCTCCTTGGGTCAAGTTGGTGTATTCTCTCCTCTTCAAGTTCACCTCGAAGTCGGAGTAGTATTGGTTGAAGAATTCCTGTCGGAAATTCTCCCAAGTTACGGCCTCACCGTACTTCCCCTTGACACCGTCCCACCATGTGGACGCCATCCCTTCTAGCAACCTCGTTGCTACTCTCATCTTCATGTTTGGCGGCAGCTGCATATCAAGGGCCGCTTCATTGAACCTCTTGATCCACTCCGCCGCAACGGATATATCTCCCGTTCCATCGAACGGTTTACACCCCAAATCCCTTGCTTCCTTGAGGTACTTCGAGATCCTTATTATCGGGACCTCGACACCTCGATCTACCCGGGACTCTACATGTCCCCTAGAACCCGCATGGCTTCCCCTTCTTGAAGCCCCTCCCAAAGCACGCCTTGCCCGGCGCCTTTGGCGATCCTGTTGAAACTGACGGAGTAGTTCCTCCATCCTTTCTAGAGCGTCATCATCGTCGCTCCCTTCACTAGCGTCATCATATTCCCCATCATATGGGGTCTCAACCGGCTCAGTTCCCGATTGATACGTCGAATCCTCCTCGGACTCATAAGACTCGTTGACTGTTTCCACATAACCGTCACTCACGGTCTGAGCTTGGCCTCCACGGCCCTATCCTCTGGACACTCTAGAAGCCCCTCTACTGCCTTGCACGGATCCTCCCGGTGCTCGGCCAGTCGGGTTCCTTCTAGTTACTTTCCCGGTACGTTCCATTTCTGAAAGAAATTGAGAATGAGTCATTAGACTCGCATCAAATGTCAATTGACGGATAGGTACTTAAAGACATCCTTTGGCTCAAATCACCGCCATACCAATTGTTAAGGGTACCATCTTAACAATTAGAGACATTGCAACCCAAGTACCAAAAGTTCTATAAGTACAAAACCTTATGCTCATGGTTTTCAAATTCATTTTCAAAAAGAAATTTTGAAGCTTCATTATGATGTTTACGGACTAAGGCTCTGATACCAATTAAATTGTCACGCCCCGGACCTAGCCGGACACGTCAACAACCCGCCGTACAGTACGAATAGTCAACCGCAGTCCAACTCATCCATACTATACAAGGCGTCATGAATACCATTCACACATAGTACATCCATAAAGAAACATAATGTAAAACATGCATTTAAAACAGCGGAAGCATTTAATAAAGATGTATTAGCCACACTTTGGCAAACATGGGCATACAAGCCCCCAAATAATTATTCAAAAATAATATCCATGAGCATTGTTATAATTGTTTTGAAAACAGGAAACAGAAGAAACACGAACCACGTCTTCTCCCTTGAAAATCCCCGAAGCAACGGGCGCCGGTAGCAACCTTCAAGTTCTACCTGAAACTATGAGGTGGCCTCCCCCGTGAAGGGGAGGTCAGTACTTGGAAATATTTGACAAGTACAATAGCAACTATACTAAGTATAATCAACGTTTTAATTTCCCCGACCCTCAACTTAGGGTACTATTATATTATAGGCCATAACCCTCGTGATGGATAGTCTACCCGGGGGTATATATCCGAAGGGTTATTACGGGGAGTAGTTTAGAGAGAAGTCAGAGTAAGTGAATAAAAGTAGAGAGAGAGTGTATTCAGTATGAATGCCGTTTTCAGCGTGGTTACAAATGAGGAAATGGGGTGCTATTTATAGTAGCAATAAATGCCGGGAAGGGACACGTGTCAAGCGCTCATTGGCCGAGGGGTCACCTCAACTGGTTGGCGCTGGCAGCCGCATGTGGCCGCATTTAATGCGGCTGTTGGATGGGACGTCTGTGCGGGGCACGATGATCTGTACGCATGTGAGGCGGATATCTTGTCGAGTGAGATGCCTTCGGCTATAGAGCAGTAGCCGAGGGCTCTTCCACCCGATGGCACCCTGGTGCCGAGGGCTCATAGTGCCGAGGGCTACTGTTTTCGCCGTTTTCTCCCAGTTTCTTAATTTGCTTGAGAAACCCGTTCTGTGAGAATTTAGAGCCTTCGGCCGGGGGGCCGAAGGCACCCCTGGCGCGTAGTGCGGGCTGCTTGGTACCCTGGGCGCTGTGATTTGGGCCTGTTGGGCCTTTGCTGGAGTAGTAGGAGTCTGTGGGCCGGGGGTTCCCGGGCCATATACTCCATCAGGAGTCCCTCACTCCTTTTGCCGAAAGGTACTTGAGGGAAAAGGAGTAATTTGTGCTTGCCCTTTGATGTTGTCCCGTCATGATCTCTGAAATTGGTGAGGAGTTGTTGCTTTTATGTCCCTGCCGAAGGCAGTCCCTCAGTTACCCACATGTCGGGACTTGAGGGCTTGCTTTGTTGTTTGTTGGAATTTCACAGATTTTGTAATTTAATGATTTTCCCGAGGGGGTCCTCCAGTCCCCCACTCCTTGAGGCACTTGTAGAGTGGTGAAAAGGAGTAAAGTAGTTATGTTGCTGTTGTGGGCCGAAGGCTGACGCTTTTCGTTTCATTTTGGGGGGATGCCTCGTTAAAAACCTCATTAGGAAAAACCCTGTGAGAAAAAATCCTAATGAGGGAAAAAGAGTGCACCGAATTCCCCCAATGATGAATCGAAAATGTCAAACCTTGGTAAAAATGGAGAATAACGGGAATGCCGAAGGCTCTCTCTTCTGAGGGCTCCTGTGTTGATTGGCCGAAGGCTTGCTGTTGATGTCCTGGTGGCGCCGAAGGGGAGCCCCTCAATCCGGGGATCGAGGGCCTGCTGAACGAGGGCGGCGATGGAGTTGTTGCCGGGGGGTCCACTGTTTGTTGATTAGTTGGTGATGAAGGTACCCGAGGGCTCCCATTACCTGGGTGCCACGGGTCATCCGTCAATGAGGCAACTCCCCGGGGGCTATCCCGGTTTCGCAGTGCTGAGGGGGAATCCCCGAGGGGTGCCCTGATATGCAGCCCTGGGTTTCTGAAGGAGTGATCCCGAAGGCGTCTGTTATGTGCTGTGCGGGGCGCAGTCCGGGGGCACTTCTGAGTGAGTGTACCCGGAGGCTATCCTTGATGAAGTGGAGTGGAGTAGAAAACCCGGGGGCATCCAGAATATAGCCGTTGGAAATATAGCTGTTGGAATATGTAACGACAGGCTATAGCCGTTGGGGGGGGGGGGGGTGGCACACGTGGCGCGTGATGGCTGGCTGTTCGCGGGCGGCGTCACCGGTTGGGTGAAACGGCGGTGTGTAATGATGGCGGTCCGTCCGGAGGCCCGGATTCCAGCGCCTATAAATACCCCAAGGCCAGAGCCATTCCCGCTGTGCGAATTCAGTTGCCTTAGCGAAGCTCTGCCAAAAAATCTAGTGAGAGAAACTCAGGCCTTCGGTCAGAACTTCTGCTTTCAAGGTCAGTGCCCGCTTTCCCTTCACCTCTTAGCTACCTGTACTGTGCCCTTAGGTTAGGAGATAGAAAATTTAGAAACGCTAGCGTGCACGAGCCTTCGAACTAGAGTCAGCATGTCGTCCCAGAGTGATTCTCAAGATATCTCGGGGGCGCCCTCGGTGGAGGATGAAGTCCTCTCGGACGTGGAGTCCTCAAGTGCAGAGTCCTCGGTGGGACAGGATGCCGTCATTGCCTTGGAGTTGCAAAAAGCCCTCGTAGTTGAGGCGGAGGCCGAGGGCTTTGAGCAAGAATGTGAGGACGAAAAATTGGCCATCGCCTGGCAAGCAGTTGAAGAGGAGGCACAAAGAGAAAGCGAGAGGGTCACCGTTGCTGTGCTCCCCCCTCGGGGTGCCGGGGAGGCCAGTACCTCTCGGCCGCTGAATGCGGTCCCCCTCCGGGTGGCCCCCGGAAAGAAGAAGGCCAAGGCCGCTGTTCCCAAGAAGAAGGGCAGCGTAGTAGATCAAGGGAAGCCCCTCGACATGCCCGAGGGGTACTCCTATCTCAACACCGCCGCTTTGGAGATCAAGTCGAAGGTTGATGCGGCGGACATCTATGTCACCCAGCTTCACGTGGGCCCCTCGGTCATCGTGGTGACACCGGGTCCGGATGACGTTCTCTCCCGGGCTCCCGAGGGCTGCATTGCGGTGCACGTCCTCTCAGTATCCATGGGGCTCTGCTTCCCCTTGCACCCCTTCCTCCGGGAGTATCTTCGGTTCGTCGGTTTGGTTCCCTGCCAGCTGACCCCGAATAGCCATTCTTATATCACTGGCTTCCTTCAGCTCTGTAAGTCCCGGGGGGTGACGCCTAGCCTGGACATCTTCTTCCAGAGCTTCAACCTGTGCCGGGGGGGGCACGCGAATGCCGAGGGATTCGCCAATCTGCAGTAGGTGTCCGTGTTCAAACTCTTCACCGAGGCGCCCTCCTCGAACAAGGGGTGGAAGGACCGGTGGTGCTATGTGAAGCTAGCCGAGAGCCCCTTCCCGAGGGAGCTGCGTGACCGCTTCAGGAGGCACGAGAAGAGGAGGAGCGCCGCCCTCGAGAAAGATGGCAGGATTCTGGCCATGGTCCCGGAGGGCCGGGACAAGAATATCTCCATCAAGGATTGCACCAAAGAAGCAGATCTCTACACCCTCGGGTTCCGGCGGTACCGGTTCCTGGGGGAAACTGATGAGAAGTTCCCAGTGTTTGAGGGAGCCTCCGGAGGTAGTAGCTGAGGGCATTCTCACCCTCATCTTAGCACGTTTGTTCATTTGTTTTGTTAATCCTTTATGCCACTTAGTAGTGACCCCTCGATCCTAACCCCTCATTTTTTTTTGCAGGTGTTCCAGTAAGTATGATGAACGTCAAAGGCCTCGCCCGATTCAAGAACAAACCGGCCAAGGATCCGAAGGGGCCGGACGCAGGTGGCCAAAAGCCCGTCGGTGCGCGCCTCAAAAAGCCCGAGGGCGATGCTGCTGCGGCTAAGAGGAAGCCGTCGGCAAAGGAGCCCCCCCAAGCCCCCAAAAAGTTAAAGAAGGGGGATGCCGCGAAGGATGACCCCCCGGTGGTGATTATAGATGACCCTCCGGAGATGCCGACGGCGCAGGTGCCGAGGGGGGTCCGGGAGCCATCTCTCGAGGTCCTCACGCTCTCCCTTCCGGCTGGCACGGCCGTGTTTAATGGCACGGCTGACCCGAGGGCGCTCCTGAGAGGTATAACCCTCGATATCGACAGGGCAGCTCTCGGGGCCGATGATGATCAAGCCCTTGAAGACAGGATCCTCCGGTCTTCCCTCACGGTGAGTTCACTGTAGTTTGTCTTTTTGTTTCCCACTTTGAACTAAGAAATCACGTTTGACCCTGACAACCCGCTTATCTTTGCAGACTTGCGTTGCCCTCGGGGAGCAGTTCCGACGGCTGGAGGAATGGCGCCTCCACAAAGCTAGGCAAGACGCCAAGATGAAGGAGCTGATCCTTAGGGACTCCCAGGCCACGAAGCTGATGGCCCAGCTTGAGGAGGACCTCCGGCTTGCGAGGACGGAGGCCGAGAGGCTCAGGGAGGAGAAGGCAGAAGCTGAGGCGGCCGCTGCGGAGGCCGCAAGGAGAGCAGCCGAGGAGGCCGAGGCCACCAAGGCGAAGGCTGTCGCCACAGCCCGGGAGGAGGCCATCTCCGGTTTCCTGGACGGGGGGTGGAAGACCGAGGGGCACAAGGCATGGTTGTCTTCGGTTGTTGAGGCCTCGGTTGATGAATGGTCCGAGGGCCCGGGGGAGGAGTGGATGGCCCGGAAGGGTAAGCAGTATTATGATGGGGGTGAGTTCTTCACTCAAGCCCTCATCTACCAGAGGATGGCCCGCCATCTGAAGGTTGAGCCGAAGGACTTTTATCCGGCGGCGTACGGGCTCCCCCCTCTGCAGCCAGATATCCGTGTCCCTCCCCCCCTGATGTCGAGAGGCCAGACCTGGAGGATTCCGAGCTCCGAAGGGAAGCCGAGGGCGACGATCCTGAGGCCGATGCAGAAGTTTCCTCGAAGCCATCGGGGGAGGCTGCCCCCGGGAATGACATGATTTGATATGTATTCTGTAATTTGAACAGTTTTGTAATAGCCTCGGCCTAACATTGTAATAACTATATTAACTCTTTGTTGTGATGAATGATTGAATGCCTTCGGGCTTTGTATATATAAATTGTTTTCTCCAATTCCTTCCTTCTTGAATGTATGCCTCCGCTTTCCTTGAGTGTGTGCCTTCGGTATTTTTGAATGTATGTCTAGGACTTAGAATATTTTTCGATTGTAGCTTGCCCTTGGAAGCCTTCGGTAGTTGGGCACCCTCTGCTGGATATGCAACCGAGGGTTCAGCAGCAATTAGGACTTAGAAAATTTTCCAAGTGTAGCACACCATAGGGCCTTCGGGTGTTTGCAGTAACCCAAATCCTCGGACTTAGAAAAATTTCTAAGTGTAGATTTCCCCTTGGGAGCCTTCGGGATATGGCATCCCTTCCTGATGTGTGAATGTTGGACCGAGGGCCCAACGCACAGGACTTAGAGATTTTTTGCAAGTGTAGTATGTCATGTAGCCTTCGGCTACCGTGGAGCCCCAACTGAAATATTGAATAGGCCGGGGGCTAATTCTTTAGGACTTAGAAAATTTTCTTGAGTGTTGATTCCTTGTGTACTGTAGCCCTCGATTGATAGGCAGCCTTCGGCAATTAGGTCCCTTGAGACGAGGGTGAAATATGTAGGACTTAGAAAATCTTCTAAGTGTAGAGTTTCCCTTGGGAGCCTTCGGGAGATGGCACCCCTTCATGATGTATGAGTAGTTGACCGGGGGGGAAAATATGCAGGACTTAGAAAATCTTCTAAATGCAAAAATCTCCTTTGGGAGCCTTCGGGAGATGGCCTCCCTCCTTGATGTATAAGTAGTTGACCGGGGAAAAGCATGTAGTACTTAGAAAACATTTTAAGTCTGGATTTTCCCTTGGGAGCCTTCGGGAGATGGCATCCCTTCTTGATGTATGGCCTTCGACTGTCATATTCCTCTAGTTGCAATACTGACTGAGCCAGGGGCCCATCTTTAGGACATATAATTTTTCTTTGTTTGCAAGTGTTGTTGTATCGCATAGCCTTCGGCTATTGTATTCCCCTGGCTGTAATGTTGATTGAGACGGGGGCCCAATTTTAGGACTTGGAATTTTTCAAGTGTAGTTTCTTTGTGTAGCCTTCGGGTGATAGGTGCCTTCTGACTCTACATTACTTTGCGAGATGCCCGGGGGCTGCTCCTTCAGGACTTAGAATTTTTTCTAGGCATAAATTGATGTTGAGTCCTGTTGTTGTGAAGAAAGCCAATGAGGAGTGTGTGCCCTCGGCATACACTTTAAAAGTTGTAGAATTTGACCCTTGTCATGGGGAAGGGGCCCTCGGTATTTGTGCATAACAGATGCCTTCGGTGTTTGTTTGAAGTACCGTTTAGTGGACCTTGAATATTCCAGTCCCTTTGTATTGTTGAAGCCTTCGGTGTTTTTGTGACCGGAGGTGACCAGGTAGTGGACTTAGCCGTTTCCTGATGATATTTGTTTGAGTAGTATCCTTCGGGAAATAGGAGCCTTCAGTTACCGGAGGTGTTCCCGTGGGGAGCCCTCGGCTTGTTGTGATCTGTTGGAGTGTACTCTTTGATTTCTCGCCGAGTCTACTCCCCTTCACCCTTTTTTTTTTTTTGGTTGGTGGTGAAGGGAAGGCATCAAGAAACTTGGTTTCTTGGTAAGGCTGGGCCTATTAGGAGACAATCAGAATACACCAATGGCTCTCCTCCCTCGGGTTAACCTTCCGAGTTCCGAGGGGATCGAGGGACGTTTCCTGGGCACAAGATATGGTGGTCCGTAACCTGCCTCCCCTTGGGGGATGGCGCGGAAAGCGCCTCATTTTTGAAAGTCGTCCCCTCGGCGCTAGACATAGTCCGTGGCCTGCCACACCCTTGGGGTGGTGGCGCGGGGAGCGTTTCGGTTTGGAAGTCGAATCCTGGGCATTTCTCATGCCTGTCATACCCTGGGGGTAGTGACGCGGATAGCGTTCCGTTTTTGAAAGTCGAATCCTGGGCATTTCTCATGCCTGTCATACCCTGGGGGTAGTGACGCGGAAAGCGTTTCAAGGAAGGGTTTTCATTTGCACACTAGTTGCAAATGGCCGGGGGCACTACGTGCAGCCGGCACCTATGGTGGCGCCTTCAATATATGCGTCCTCGTGGGGTACGACTTTTAGAAACAACACTTGGTGTTAGTTTCGATGTGTAGCCCCCGGTAATTGGCACCGAGGGGTCTCCTGTAGGAACACTTGGTGGTCTCTTTTGTCGTAGTTGATGTAGGCGTCTACCCTCGGTACTTGGTACCGAAGGGTCTTCAAATGAAACACTTGGTGTTTCTCAACAGATGTTTGGAAGTTGAAAGGAGAGCATATCCCTGGCACTGGGTGCCGAGGGGTCTTCTTTGAAACATTTTGGTGTTTGTTTCGATGTTTGATGATGGAGGTGTACCCTCGGCACTGGGTGCCGAAGGGTCTTCTGTAGGAACACTCGGTGTTCTCATCTTTTCTTTTTTGATGATGAAGGTGGGAATGTACCCTCGGCACTGGGTGCCGAAGGGAAATGAAACACATGGCGTTCCTTGTTGTTGGTGATAGGAGTTCCCTCCCTCGGTACTTGGTACCGAGGGGTCTTGACTGAAAACACGTGGTGTTTTCACTGTTTGTTGTAGGTGTTGATGGTGTCCGCCCTCGGCACTTGGTGCCGGAGGGGGTTCTTCTCGTGGTGAGGTCTGGGGCCTGTAGTCATTATGAGGGGTTGAGTGTATCTTCATTCTTCGAAATTGGAGGCCTTGGGCCATAGGATAGTACATTCACTAGTTATGAGGGCTTGGCCGCTCTTACATTATTGGTAAAATTTAATTAAGTGGTGTACATTCCAGTGCCTAGGGACTTCTTTCCCGTTGGGGCGTTTGAGCTTGTAGGTCCCGGGTTTGATGATGGCTGCTATGATGTAGGGGCCTTCGAATTTTGGTGCCATTTTCCCTCCCTCGGTTGGTTGGCTGGCTTCCCTCCTCCGGAGGACATAATCCCCCACTTGAAATTCCCGGGTGCGAACTTTGGCGTCGATGTAGCTTTTAACTTGCCTTCGGTAGTTTTCTGCCCGGATGAAGGCCAGCTCCCGGCGTTCTGAAATGAGGTGGAGGTCGAGGGCCATGTTGCTGTCGTTGACCTCGGGGTCATATTGGATCACCCTTCGGGTGGGAAGGGTGACTTCCGTAGGAGCTTTGGCTTCGAAACCGTAGCAGAGGGAGAAGGGTGTTTCACCTGTTGCTCGCCGAGGGGTGGTGCGATAGGCCCAAAGGATGTTGTGGAGTTCTTCTACCCAGCCACCGCCCTCGGCCTCCAGCTTCTTTTTGAGGCCCTCGAGCAAGGTCCGGTTGGCGTTCTCTACTTGCCCGTTGCCTTGAGGGTAGGCAACGGAGGAGAAGGTGTGTTTGATGCCCCATGCCTCCAGAAGGGCACAGAAGGGGGCTGCCTCAAATTGTGTCCCATTGTCGGAGATGATCTGCTGGGGGACGCCAAACCTTGTGAGGATGTTCTTGAGGACGAAGTGACGGCACTTTGCCTCTGTGATGCTGGCGAGGGGTTCAGCTTCCACCCACTTGGTAAAGTAGTCGACGGCCACAATGATGTACCTGTTGTTGGAGGTACCCCTCGGCAGAGGGCCCACAAGGTCTATCCCCCATCGAGAAAAAGGGACAGATGTGCTGATGGGGGCATAGTTGACCGCTGGCCTGTCGGGGGCTTTCTGGAAATGTTGACATGTGGGGCACCTCCGGGCAAGGTCAGCACAATCCCTGGCCATGGTTGGCCAGAAGTAGCCCTGGAGAATGAGCCTTCGGGACATGGAGAAGGGTCCCTGGTGAGCTGAGCAAGTGCCACTGTGCACTTCCTCCATTGCGACCTCGGCTTCATCTGGATGAAGGCACCGAAGTAGCGTGCCATTGTAAGATCGTTTGTAGAGCCTTCCATCTTCGATGGTGTAGCTGGGAGCCCTCAGCTTTGCCAGTTTAGCGCGGGCCTCATTCTCGGGTAGCTGCCCTGTGGAGATGAAGGCGGTGATATCTGAGATCCAATCCTCCTGACGTTGTTGTATGTTCATCACGGGGCTTGCATGGATGCTTGAGAGGCTGAGTTCCTCGATTTTGGCAATTTTGGAGATGTGCTCGGGGGAGTCTGCCGAGAGTTTAGATAATATGTCGGCCTCGGAGTTCTGAGCCCTCGGTATTTGAGTGAGAGAGTGTGCCTCAAATACCTTAAGCAACTCCTTGGCCGCTTCCTTGTACTATTTCATTCTTCCCTCCTTGGCCTCATACTCTTCGGAGATTTGGCCAACGACCAACTTGGAGTCGCATTTGATGTGGATCTGCCGAGCCCTCATGTTGGCAGCCAGCCGAAGGCCACATAGGAGGGCCTCATATTCGGCCTCATTGTTGGAGACCTTGAAGGAGAAGCGGATTGCATAGTAGGCCCTGAAGCCCTCGGGAGTAATGAGGACTACCCCTCCCCCGCATGCTTTGGTCGCGGAGGAGCCATCAGTGTAGAGGGTCCACCAGTCGTCCGAGGTAGCCGAGGGCTCCCCGTCCGTGGCTGCCCTTGCGGTACACTCCGTCACAAAGTCCGCCAGGGCTTGGCCCTTGATGGCAGGCCTTGGACGGATATCAATGTTGTACTGGCTCAAGAAGATAGCCCATTTCACCATGCGGGAGGAGCTGGTGGGGCTCCTCATGAGGGCGCCGAGGGGTTGATGGGTGAGGACCTGAACCGGGTGAGCCTGAAAGTAGTGGCCCAACTTCTTGACAGTCCAAACGATGGCCAACACCGTTTTTTCCACAGGGGAGTACCTGAGCTCGGCCTCCCTTAGGGTCTTGCTAACGTAGAAGATGGCATGTTGGATGCCGTATTCCTCCCGGATGAGCACAGAGCTGATGGCCGCCGGGCTAACCCCAAGGTAGAGGTAGAGGGTCTCCCCTACCTTGGGTTTGGAGAGCACAGGAGGTGAAGATAGATATCGTTTGAGCTCGTCGAAAGCCCCCTGGCATTCTGGAGTCCATAGAAAACCAGCCGTCTTCCTCATGATCTGGAAGAAGGG